AAATACGCCTAAATAAAATACACATCTAGAGTAGACGGTTGGTTAAAAAAAATTTAGATATTCCTTATAGTAATATACACATCTAGAGGAGACGGTAAAAAAAGAATTATATAAATGCCGAAGTAAAATACACAACTTGAGGAGACGGTTGGTAAAAAAGAAATTTAATATGCCTAAGTTAAATACACACGTATAGAGGGCATGGTTGGTTAAAAAAAAAAGATTACTCACGCCTAAATAAATTACACATCTCGAGGAGACGGTTAAAAAAAAAATCATTCTTAATAAATAAGATACGCATATAGAGCAAACGGATTGTAAAAAATAATTAAATATGCCTAAATAAAATACATGTCTAGAGGGGGTTGGTAAAAAAACAATTAAAAAAATAAAACATAATTTTCGACCAAAAAACAACAACAAATAAACAAAAATATATCAATATATATTTTTACATAAATTAGTCATTAACATTGTTATTTCCCATTTTATATACAACGTCCCCGAAGACAGCTCTACTGAAGAAACATTCTCCTCCCGCGGGAAGTGAACCCACTCTTTCTGTGTGTGGCGGTATAAATAGTACATGTATGATAATAAACTACACACCTACCTACTACACCACAGGCGCCAGAGGTAAAATACACTGAACAAATCGGCGAGCAAAAACCTATGTTTAAGTAAAGAGTTTGGGTTTAACGCCCCTATCAACACGACTCTAGACTACATATGTATTAAACAGATGATAGGGCGAAAACATAGAGAACGCTGATTTCGGAGACTGACAGCTTGCCCCACATAGAGCTGGCAGACTGCAGGCGGCTTTAAGCTCGGATCAGCGTTGTCGGCTTTATCGGAATCCACCCTACATTCTTATTACGCCCGAAAAACTGGGAAGGGCGTCCCGCTATCAACTCGCGACCTCAGTGCTTTCTTGTCGCATCTCCATTTTTTAACAGTGAAAATGTGACTTCTTCTTAAGCTCACTCTTTGTTGTGAACTGCTTTCACTGTTATTAAAAATGAAGATGCGACAAGAAATCACTGAGGTGCCGTCTCGCCACCTCCGACTTGGGTTGAGCGGTTTGCGTGACGTCACCCGACTGGACAGGGAACAATTTAAATGGCCATTTCAGAGCTGGTGCTTCACGGTAGACAAAAACTAACTACATTTTAAAAATCAAATTAGGGTGGCAT